TGCGAAGGAGGAATTGCAGTTACCAGTGCTACTGCTGCAGCAGCAGCTGCTGCGGCTGCTGCAGTGGTACCACTGCTGATCAGAGGTGATGACCGAGAAAGTGCAGGTAGTGGTTGCAGCGAAGCAGATTCTGCTAGTGGATGATGCAGTGGTGTTACTCCAGCTGCTGCTGCTGCTGCTACCGCTTGCTGAACATATGTAGCTGTAGCATTTTTTAGGATATATGACGACTCAGTGACCAGCGATTGTACCGGCGACAAAGGAATGAGTTTTGCCACACCGGACAACAACTGACCATCTTTCTGGGAATTTGTCCCCTTTTGTGGCGTTTTAGCTGAAAAAAGAAAAGCATTCATGCAAAATTCAAAAAAAAAAAAAATCCTTACATACAAATTTTGAGAAAAACAGAAAAGATAACAAAATATTAAAAAAAATCTTTGTAAAATATTAAAAAAAAGTTTTTATAATATAGAAAATATGCAATTCCGAAGTCCTAGCGGTTTCGGAAATAAGCTCATTGCATTTTATGACTTAAAGGCTTTTCAAAGAAGTAACGCAAGAGTGGTGAAATTCGAAATTCTGAAAAAAAAACATACAAAAATAGTTCGAGGCAAAGAAGAAACACGAAAATTTTCCGCAAAATGTAAGAAAAAAGTTTTCATATTATGGAAAATATGCAATTCTGGCGCTCCAAAAATCCAGAAATTAGCTCACTTCATTTTATGTTTTAAGACCCCTTTCGAGGAAGTGATGCAAAGGTGGTTATATATAAATGACATACAAACCTGATATGACAAAATAATAACAGCGATAATAATAACAGTAATAGTATTGTAACAATAATAATAGTAATAATAACAGTAATAGTGGTAATAGTGACGGTAATAATAATAATAATAATAATAATAGTAATAGTAATAATGATAACAGTAACACGATCTGTGGAATGAAAATGGATGTCTGACAACAAGTTGAACAGATATGAAGCCTATTAGCTCGCGCCACCGCAAACTATAAAGTAATATTTTACAAATGAAAGAGCGATGTGTAATTTTCCATCAAAGAATCAAATCTTCGAATATAAATTTTCATTTTAGGCAAATCTAAACGATAAAAAAATGGTTACACGGTAAAAACTGTGGAAAATTTTCCAGATTTTCTGTTGGAACATCCATCGCAGCACATTTACGATTATGTTCATCGTCCACATTATCAACCTGACAAGCATGAAGTTGTGCTGATGACAGCGATTTCTGCGGAACTCCTTCATCACCCTGCAAAATAGCGCGCAGCGTCAGGCGCAGTACTCACGCTGACTGCACAATTACGTTTCACTATGTTTGTCAATTCCTAGTCGGTAAAATACTTTTCACTGCGGACTAGGTTGACGTTTTCCGGTATGAAGTGGCAACGCTTAACACACACATGCATACACACATGCACACACACGCACACACACATACACACATGCACATACCCACACGTGCACATACACACACCACACTAATGCACATACACATATATATATACACACACCAAGGATACCTCGAAATGGCTAGAATCCTGGAAGTGCTTTTGTCGTGAGGAGCGCTAAGCTTCCTAATTTCTCTACGAAACGGGCTGAATGTCAGGACTGGTGACCATCAGGCGACGCAGCATTGATAAGAGTGGCTGAAAAACCGGCTAATGCGTGGCTGGAGAGCCAGAGACCACGAATTATAGTTGATTAAAGCATGAAATCAAAATCCCAGGTACTACTATTCGCAGTGATAGAGATAGGGTTTTCTTCGTACCCAGCATCACAGGCACCGGTGCTGCAAAAGCCCGGGTCTAAAGCTAAAACTGTAAATTAAAGCCCAAAGCAACTCTAAACTAAAGTAACTCTAAGTAGCAGTGTGTTACAACTCTATTCCTTGTTTTTGCATAGTTCCACTGAGGAGAGGACTTTCCTCCCCACCCTCTGTGGCCCCCTCCTCCCCCACCGTCCACCCTAGGAGCCTTTCCTGGATCCGCCTATGCAGAAGATCTATATGCGCTAAAGCAGATGTATGGGACCGGTGAGTCCAGAACAGAGCAGAACCGAAACACTTGCCAATTGCATCAGTAGCGAGACGGAACTTAAATCAATATAATTAACCCCTTTCCCCTCCATCCCCATAGCTTGCATGTAAGCAACTTTTGAAAGAAGGAACCATCGACAGCCTTTGCCGACGGGTAATTGCTATTGGTATTTTTTATAACTAGTGCTACTTCACGTTTATATCTGCCCAACACAGAGAACGAATACGGAGGGGACTTCGATTCTAATCAACTGTTAATGTTATATTGCTATAGTTAGCGGCAAATTTGACGTGTTTTTAGGAATAATCTAAAAAAACTGAGGTACCCGTGGTTTTGTTGCATAAGTGGATCGTTGCTTGTCCTGTATGCAAAACGG